ATTTTCCACGTGTGAAAACACAAGAGGCATTTCAGCAACTCATCACACAACTAATTTACCACCCATTCACGACCCTACTGCAACGTAATCTGTAGGCTTTGGTAGGTTGCGCATGAGATCACGGCTGGTGTGACATCACCACACTCAAGTACAAACAGATAACAGTCACAGCTGACTGTCCACAGTGCGTGGACCTGCAAGAAGACCACACTTTTCTCGGGCCATTATCTCCGTAACCGTTCAACTTTGGACATAGGTGTTTTGGGTTATATCGGCATACTTTAACATAAGGAACACCTTGCCGAAGTTTGGCACATTCCTCCTGGGACACCCTGTATATTTCGTGAAGAAAGAGTTCCCAGGAGACAAACAACTGATAATTTGGTGAACTAACTCCCAGTCTCCATAAGTAAGTTCTGCACAGATATTCCATCATAACATGATAATCAATGAAGGTGTGTTTGGCTTGGTCTCCGCTGCAATACTGCGAAGCACAAAAAATAAACAAAAACATAGCCATGTAAATTTGTAAATGAAACTCATTTTTTAAACTTCATCACAAAAATTCTCTTCTTTATACCAACAAAAGTGAGAATAAGCAATATGCAATAGGGTGCTGCAGTAAATTACATAAAAACAATTTTCATAACCTTCTTGAACATACAGAAACCATAAATTTTACTGAAATTATCCCCACACTGAAATAGTGCAAACTTTGTAAACAAAACATGACATACTGATGCCTGTCTACAAACATGGCCAATTCCAGTATTTCCTGCAAGTTAAGATAATAAGAACTCCATGGTTTTAGACCGCAAGTATGTTAAGTAAAAATGTATTTCATAACTTACTGTCCACATTAAGTTGGTGAACAGGGATTTTACACTCATTCTGTATATGGGGATTTGAATTTTTTTTTAATTCGTATAGTGGGGGGTGGAGTCAGACTGGGTTCACTCGGCATGGCAGCCACTGATTGGCCTATTATAGCCTACCCCGGGTGATTACGGTGATGGAGAATTTGGTGGAATGAAGATTGGCAGGGGAAACCAAAGTACTTAGAGAAAACCCACCCCAGCGCCACTTTGTCCATCACAAATCCCACTTGATCAGACCCGGGATCGAACCCGTGCTGCCGCGGTGGGAAGCCAGCGACTAACTGCTTGAGCTATGGCATGGCCCGGGGATATGAAGCTTGAGGATTTTGTGGTGAAAAACCAGCAACTAACCACATGAGCTCTGTAACAACCCACAACAGAATGAGATGGATACTGACCCAGATCCTGAAGCAATGAATTTGTTGCTGTAGAAGGCGCATGTATTCACTGCTGCACTTTGTTCCTCCAATCTCTGGAAAATTTTCACTGTGTTCCCATCACCTTCTGCCTGCTTCACCACTTCCTGCTCCCACAGTCCACAGCACTGCATAAAACCATGTGGTTAGGATAAAGAGTATGTGTGAACATAAGGTTTCTTAGTCATGGCATGCTGTTATTCACATGTGGCTGTGAACGTATCAATGCCACTAGTTATAAAACATAATATGATGGTAATTAGAATTTTCATACCAGCAATTCTTTTGTTCCAGGGACATAACATCAAGACTAAAAGGTATGTTACTTGGAAAATGTTCAGTCTGTATAAATTGAAAATAACTCTTTGTTCTACACTCTGATAGTAAAGTTACTATGTGTTTAATTATGCACCACACCACAGAGACACACAGGGAAGACAAGGTACGTGTATATCTCCACACTCTACCTTGGCACTGAATGAAGCTGTCAGGTTCCCACCCTGGCCACTTGACCACTGCTGTCCATCAGATAGGAGGTTTCAGGGGCTCCAAAGCTGGTTTAGACACTCTAGAGACCATGAAAATATTTGCCGCTGTCGGGAATGGACCCCTGATTTCTCGGTCATCCAGCCTGTAGTCTAGTTAATATACTGATGAAGCCATCCTGCATAATCCTCTAATACCTTCTGCATGAGAAGAGTGGTGAAGGAGCAGCAACCTTCTGATCTTCACTATTTGAGCCTTAAACTATGCCATGAAATTAACCTTAAAACTAGTCCTTGCAAATAAAATAACTTTACCTCTGAATTGCTATTGCCAAAGTGACTTAAGGCACGGCACGGTTTCACAAGCTCAGAGTCCAGGCTCAACTTGCCTCCCAGATTCCACACCATAACACGTTTGTCATTGGAACCTAAAAGCCAGATTCATCTTATATGATTCAAAGAACTGTCAATTAAATACATTTTTAACTCTATGGCTTCTAGTCTGCCAGCAAACTATATCGACCGAACGACTGCCACTTGTCAGCGAAGTTAGTGCCAAATTTTGTGGATAAAGGGTGTCATGTGGTCAGTGCAAAGGACTCCCACAGCCATTAATCTTGGTATTCTAGACCGGAGCCACTACTTTTCCATTGAAGTAGCTCCTCAATTACCCTCATGAGACCGAATGGACCCTGTTCCAGACCCACTACTTCTCAGAAAATCTGGTAGCGCCGGGACTCGAACCGGGGACCTCTGGATCTGTAGCAAGGAACTCTGACCACTAGACCACAGAGGTGGTCCTGATGCCACAAAGGGAAAAACTAAGCAAATAAATAAATAAATAGATAAAATTGCATTCTATTATGACTACATACATGAAGTCACTACTGCCTGCATTTTGAAATATTTAAGTTTTATCAAATGGATATGCTAACATATAAATGGTTACTGTCCACTGCTGCTCACTGTATAATAAACCTCCCCCCTCTTCAGGTGACAAGATCATTAACATACCTGATGCCAACAGGGAACTGTCTCGGGAGAAGGTGCAACATGTGACATATCTTGAATGCCCCTCCAGCACAGCAACACAGTTACCACTGGTCTAGAAGGAAACCAGATACAGAACATATGTTAAAATACAGCTGTACAGCATGTGACTAAAAAGTAAAGCTATCCCTGTAACAGGCCGTGAAGGTCCATAGGATTGGGAGAAGTTGTGGCTCCCACAGTATTTAGACCAGGCATGTCCAACGCACTGATCGCGGGGCGATTTTTGGTCGATTTCATAAGCCTATAAGGAAATTATACGTGAAAAGCATGTAAATTCACTTGTAATATAATACATAGGTCATACCAAAAGTCACGAGTAACTTTCTTTTGCATGCAACCTGGGAACAGCAGACGAAAGAGAATATGGTGGTAGGTGGAACCAGGTGTTGTGTTAACCTTGAGTGTCTTGTGACATCAATAGCTTGCATTACGTGACCAGTATCACTCCTAACAAAATGGCCAACAATGATATGTCGTTTTGCCAGCGTGCTGTCATCGAATTTCTTGTGAAAGAGGAAATCCCTGCTGCAGAAATTCACCAGAGACTTCAGCATCCTTATGGAAGTGTGTGCATGGGTGCGAGCAGTGTTCGAAGATGGCTGAAACATTTTAAAGATGGGAACACCAGCATCGAAGATGAGCCTCGGAGCGGTCGTCCTCAAACAGCCTCAACTGAATGCAACAAGGAAAGAGTGGATGAGGTCATTCAAAATGACAGGCGTGTGACTGTGGACACAATAGCCCGAAAACTTGGAATGGGGCACAGTGCAGTGCAGGAGATGACTGAAAGCTTGGGTTATAGGAAAGTTTGTGCTCGTTGGGGCTCGCGGTTATTGACTGAAGACCACAAAGGTCAGCGAAAAGCCATCACCTCAGAACTGCTGCAGAGATATCGACACGAAGGCGATGACTTTTTGCCTTGTATTGTGACAGGTGATAAAAGCTGGTTTCACCATTTCGAGCCTGAAACGAAACGGCAGAGCATGGAATGGCACCATTTGCATTCTCCATCAAAAAAGAAGGCAAAGACAGTGCCATCAGCTGTGAAGGTGATTGGCACAATCTTCTGGGATGCAGAGGGGTTTATTCTGGCCGAATTCCTGGAACCTGGGCAAACCATCAATGCTGCTCGTTATGTCCAGACGCTGCACAAGCTCCGTTGTGCATTTCGCGATAAACGTCCGGTACGAAACAGCATCATCCTGCATGACAACACTCGCCCCCACGCTGCTGGCCTCACATTGGAAGCAATTGCAAAGATGGGGTGGGAAGTTCTTCCACACCCCTCCTATAGCCCTGATCTGGCACCCTCCGACTACCATCTTTTCGGATTTGTGAAGGATCAGCTGCATGGACAACGTTTTGAGACAAGGGAGGCAATTCAGAAAGCAGTGCATCAGTGTCTTCGGATGGCTGGAACGGAATTTTACAGAAGGGGAATTTTCAAACTCCCAGAACGCTGGGAGAAATGTATACAAAGAAGTGGTATTTATGTGGAAAAATAAAGAAAGGTCTGTAGATTGAGGTGGTGTATTTGGTTTGTCAATAATAAAGCATGTTACTTTACAAAAAATTGTTGCTCATGACTTTCAGTACATCCCTCATATGATCATATTCAGATTTTTAAGGGAAAATACGTATTAGTCATTCCTATTTTTCTGTTCTTAACGAACAAGGTAAGTCTGTACTTTCAATGTATAAGGGTTGGATAAAAAGTAGTGGCAACACTGCTGTAACATGAAAGATGTGTATCAGGTGGCACTAGCACCGTCTGTAGCTGATAGCAGAAGTTCAGTTGAAGTAGTGCAGTGAGTGACGCTGGTTGTGTTTCATTGAGTTGCATTGTGCATTGTCTTGAAGTGCAGGAGCCCAGTTCAAACACCCTAACAACGTGTTCACAAAACAAGAACGCTCCTGGATAAAAACTGAAGTTGCATGAGGTTGTAGCACATAAAACTGTTATCAGGGACTGCGGGAAGCATGTGGTGATGCTGATTTGCCATATCGCACAGTGGCATGATGGGTGAAATTGTTCCGTGAAGGGAGGGATGCCATTCAGGACAGCTGTCGTTCAGGACGACCCCATGTTGACAACCACACAATTCAGCTTCTTGCTTCTTTGCTGGATGTCAATCGTCGATGGGCAGTGCAGGAATTAGCTGCTGAGGTAGGCATATGTCACAAAACCGTGCTCCACATTCTGCACGATATTCTTGGACACCATAAAATTGCAGCGAGTTGGGTACCCCATACAATGTACGAGGTACAACAATGGCAACGTTATGCAATTGCTCAGGACTTGTTGGACCGGTACCAGAAGGAAGCTGATGACTTCCTTGGAAGGATCATCACTCTGGACGAAACTTGGGCTCACTCATATGAACCATACTTAAAGAGACAGTCAAATGAATGGAAGCATCCTGGCTCTCCTCATCCAAAGAAAGTGCGCCATACACAGAGTAATGTGAACGCGATGTTCATTGTGGCATATGACAGTGATGGAGTGATACTGTACCTCACTGTACCTCAATGACAGACAGTAAACACTGCCTACTACTGCAATTTCCTGTGTAATCATCTTCGTCTAGCACTCAGGAGAAAGCGATGACACTTGCTGGCAATGAACCCCATCATCCTTCATGACAATGCAAGGGCTCATACTGCTGACACTGTCAGGGATCTCCTTCGCCACTGGCAATGGGAGATACTGCAATGTCCACCATACTCACCTGATATGAGTCCGTGCAATTATGATCTTTTTGCCAAAATGAAAGAACCACTGCGAGGGATATGTTACAACACAAGATAGGAGATTATTCATGCTGTAGGGAGGTCACTGCTGGACATCAATAGAAGTGGATGCGCTGATGGTGTATGATGCCTTCCACAAATTTGGCAGGGGGTGGTTCACATGGAGGGGCGATTATATTGAAGGAATGTAAGTGTGTTTACCTCAGGTAATAAAGTCATTCCAGAACTGTAGAGGTGTTGCCACTACTTTTTATCTGACCTATGTATGTTGCTTTTACAACAAACATCATGTGTTGTGTTATTTTTACCAATATTTTTGCTTAAAACGAGTTACGACGATAGGAGGGGGGTGATAGATCACTGGCAGTTTTGACACTAAAAAGTTGATCACAACCTGTTTGAAGTTGGACATGCCTGATCTAGACAATTGGCTCAAAGATGGTGGTAAGGTTATCAGCCTTACGCGACGGCCACGCTTTACTCCCCAGGAAAATTATTCAATTAATTCCTGGTACTCATTTCTGTCAGAGGCTGAGTCGACCCCAGGGCCATAGTGCGGCTGGAAAGATTAGGTCAATTGAAAAAAAAAATCCAATGACCTCATCAGGACTTGAAACCGTGACCTTCCAGCTTGTAGCATAGCCCCTCAACCAACTACGCTACAGTGTACCCCAGAAGGCATCAGCATTCAACACAATAATAGAACAGGTCATCAGCCAACGAAGCTTAAGGTAACTTACATACTGCTTCTTGTACTCTGTGACATGAGAAATAATTGCAAGAGTAACATAAATAGTCTTAACCCTTTGACGTGGTCATTTAAATTCCGCGGCCGCGGCTCCTGCGGTAATATATTCAGCCGGCCATTTAAATTTTGCTCGAAAATTATTTATTCATCATTGTTCTTAAATTCTATGAGATAGGAACATGAAACTTTCAC